TAATAATCAGTTTTTGTAAAAAATAAAAGTGTTTGGAATAGCAAATGAAGTAGAAGTGGAGTAGAAGAGGGTGAAATAATCAAATAATTAAATTAAATGAATGATGGAAGTTCGCGGAATAGTTGTCAGGATGAATCATCGAAAACTTTATCACCTTTATTATGAATAATTAGGAACAGAAGTGAAAGATAAAATTTGATTAGTGCTATACAGCATTATAACAGTATTCGTCATTTGATTGACTAATTATTTTGTTATTTTGACTTACCTGACTGATTAATTATTTTCTTATCATTTTCGACGAAATGTATTCGACGAAATGACCTTTGATCTCCTTTGGTTTTTCAAAAATGTTGCATTAATTTGTCGGATTAATCCAAATTAAATAAATGAAAACAAGTGGAAATACAGTGAAGATATCAAAGGAGAAAGAAAAAAAAACGGTGAACAAGTTTCTGAAATAGAAATTGAAATAGTAATTTAATAGAAAAGAATAAAAATATTTCATAGAAAGAATAAAAATTAAAATCAATTAATAATAATAAATTTTCAGAAATCAGATAATACATTATATAAATTAATTAATTTGATGGGATGATTACCAAACAAGGACATGATTAATTTGACGATGAATATGATAATGAGATTTGTTTGGGAATTAATTATATATAAAGTTGAATGAAATTAAATGTTTTCCTATGACATATTTTCTCAAGAAATTTTGTTTTTTCCCAATTAATTAACCTATTTTTGATATCGAATTTGATTTCAAATTCAAGGGAAGAAAATGATAAGATAGAGAACAAAATGAAAATATTATTCAATCTTCCATTATTCAATATGTTCGAAATTTAAGTTTGTTAATATTCAGTATGTCTGAAATTTAAATTTGTTATCATTTTGATTTCAAACTTTTCCTTTATCTTATTTTCTACAGTTGAAATCTTTGTAAAATTTCGAAAGCACTCGAATTTGTGATATTTACTCAATTTGGGAAGAATTGTATTTGAGTTTAAAAGAATTTGGAATAACATCAAATTGGTGAAATAAACTATTGCGGAAATTTGAAATTTAATACTTACGTTAAGTCTATCGCAAAATTAAAATGAAGAAATGATTAAAAATATTCAAATTCGCCGGAGAGTTTTGTGATTCCAACTATTTCTAGCCTAATTTATATTACATATTTCAGCCAATTAAATTATCCCCTTAATTAAATCTTAAATTAGTAATTGAGTTTAGCTAGATATAAATGTTAAAGTAATGACATCAATCCATAAAATTTTTACGCATTAATATCTCAATAGATTTTCAAACGCCTAAAATACTTTAACGTCATTTATTTACGTTTCAAATTAAGCGTCACTTTTGCTAACAAGCAAATACAATGATTAATAAATATTTTTAAAGAATAAATTGGAAGAAGCGCAATTAGTTCAATCGAGAAATGTGATTAATGAAAAGTGATACCGACGAGGCACAATTTGTCAACAACTAAAATTACCAAAACAATCTAATTATCTTATCAATTCTAGCCAAACAATTTAATTTTCCATCGATTTCATCGAAACTATTTAACCTTTAACGATCATCAAACTATCTAACTTTTTATTAATTCTATTTAAATTATTTAACCTTTATCGATCATTAAACTATCTAACTTTATTAATTCTATTTAAACCACTTAACCTTTAACGATCATCAAACTACCTAACTTTTTATTAATTCTATCTAAACCATTTAACCTTTAACGATTGTCAAACTATCTAACTTTTTATTAATTCTATTTAAATTACTTAACCTTTATCGGTCATTAAACTATCTAACTTTATTAATTCTATTTAAACTATTTAACCTTTAACAACCATCAAACTATTTGTCCTTCCATTAATCCTATCTGAACTATTTAACCTTCCAGTTACTAAGTTATTTCAAATATTTATCAAGGATAC